GTGCACGCCGTGGACGACGCCACGAATCAGATCTACGAGAAGGAGGTGAGGACCTTCCTCCTGGACGTGAAGCGGCACGGGCTCCCCTTCTCACCTTACGAGGAGAGGGATGCGGCGCTCGGCGGGTACATATCGGACATGTGCTACGTGATGCAGTTACCCTTCAGCAGGGCGTCTGCGTTGTTCAATGGCTTCATGCACATCTTCGAGGATCACCGCAATCGGCTCCCCGTCGCTGCCAGGGCGCTGAAGTCCTGGTCCAGGATGGGCTTCCAGAAGGAGGGGGCGCCGGTGCCGTTCGAGGCCGTAGGGTGCGTGCTCTATGACCTCTTTGAGCACGGCCAGCTGTACGAGGGGGCCGCGGTGCTGCTGCAGCTGGACGGCTGGCTGAGGGAGCAGGACTGGGGCCTCCTCAGGAAGACGGACGTGGCGGTCGGGCCCGACGGGGAGGTCGGGCTCACCTTGGGCCGCAGAGAGCGGGGCGAGAAGGTGAAGACGGGAGCGAACCAGGGCGTCGTGGTCTCGTGGCAGGTGACGAAGGCCATCCTGCGGGCGATCGGCAAGGGCGCGGCGCCACGGGACCTCCTCTTCCCGCTCTCGCAGGACAAGTACAGGAAGGCGTGGCGGCTGGCCTTCGACAGGGCGGGCCTGGCGGACTTCGGGCCTCCGCACTCGCTGAGGCACGCGGGCGCGGCGGCCTACATCGCCGCGGGTGGCTCGCTCGAGGCGGCGCGCCGGAAGGGCCGCTGGCAGACCACGTCGGCCCTTCAGCGCTACACGAAGGTGCACGTGCTGATCGAGCAGCGGAGCCGGCTCACCCCCGAGCAGCTTGAGCGGGGGCGGGCCTTCTGGCGCAGGCCGGCCCAGAAGATCGCGGAGGCCATCTACCGCTCCGACGCCGTGCTGGCCCCGCTGGCGCAGGACATGGTGCAGGAGCTCGAGGCAGCCAAGAACGACGAGGTCGTGCTGCCGCAACTGGAGAGCATGGCGGACGGGGGCGCCGAGCCTACCAGCCGCCCGTCTACGGCTGGCCGCAGCAGGGCTAGAAGGCAATGAGCAGGCTGCCGCAGCCCCCACCCTCATTTTAGGCCCCCGCCTTTCGCGGGTGCTATATCTTTTGATATAAATGCAGGAGCCTCGAGAGTTGGGCGCGTGCACCCTGTCCTCCACTTGTCTTCCTTGAACACTTGATAGATATGGGGTAAATATAAAGCAGGTTTTTTGGTGGGTGAGAGCGACACAAATTATCTCCCTTTCCCCCCCTCCCGAATGTGTGCCGCGCTCGTGTCTAGCAGTGGCTGGAAGCGTGAAGGCACAAGTGCCAGTCTAGTGATGACGGGACTGGGGGTTTCGCCGCGAGGCTTTGTGGCCCGACCGTGGGCCGAGGCACGGTCAGGAACCTCTCGGCCTTTTAAGTTTCGGGCCTCACATGGGGCCCCGCCGCTGCGAACAGATACTTTCGGAGGGTGCCCCCTCCTCTCGAGCCGCTCGCTGTCCTGTGGGTGTGTCTCCTCCCGCTGCTGCGTCGGATATTCTGTGGGGCCTCTTTTCATTAGGGTTGTCGCTCTACCCCCGCCTGCCCCCAGCACTCTAAAATCAAGATTTAATGGTATAGGCACGCTCCGAGTTAACATAGATTCAAGCCTGGCTCTCGAGTGTGGGTGCTGTGTAAATACGCGTTTTTAAACACACTTTTACACACCCCCTTTAAACGTTCAGATAGCCGCCTCAACTGTATTTTAGGAGAAGGGCTAGCGCTTTCTCTCTCGTGCTTGACCCTCCTCTCCTGGCGCAAAGTTTCGGCTCCCAACCCTGCCCCCCCCTGGGCTTGTATGGGCTCTGGGGGTTTCGCCGCGAGGCTTTGTGGCCCGACCGTGGGCCGAGGCACGGTCAGGAACCTCTCGGCCTTTTAAGTTTCGGGCCTCACATGGGGCCCCGCCGCTGCGAACAGATACTTTCGGAGGGTGCCCCCTCCTCTCGAGCCGCTCGCTGTCCTGTGGGTGTGTCTCCTCCCGCTGCTGCGTCGGATATTCTGTGGGGCCTCTTTTCATTAGGGTTGTCGCTCTACCCCCGCCTGCCCCCAGCACTCTTAAATCAAGATTTAATGGTATAGGCACGCTCCGAGTTAACATAGATTCAAGCCTGGCTCTCGAGTGTGGGTGCTGTGTAAATTGAATTTTCCCCCTCGTCCAATTTTTCGCCCCAAATCCCCCCTACGGGGGGATTTGGGGCAAAAAAATTACAAAAATACTCCAAAAATGCCCCCCCCCCCCCCCCCCCCCAATACCCCAAGAGAGAGTCAAACAAAAATCGTCCCCTGACTATTGGTTTAAACTACTTTTTTGAAGTTTCCCCCTGTAGAGGGACAGGCCCGACTTCACCCCAGTAGGCGGCCCCCGAACTGCAGCCGCGGGCTCGAGCGACGATGCTCGAGGTGTGCGCGTGCCTCCGTCGCCACCTGCGCAGCTCGCCCACGGACGCCTGATCCCGGACCCAGGCGCTGACCCCCAGCAGGTTCCAAAGAGGGGTTTGGGGAGGGGGTTTTCCGGGAGGGGTCCCCCAAGGGCTTCGCACCCCCTGTGCTGACGAGGTTCCGAGGCCTCCGGGGAGCTCTCCGGAGAAAAACCCCTCCCCGAAAACCCCCTTTGGAACCCTCCGGTACCCGGGACCGGCTCGCCATCCCGAAGTGTCGTAGGATGGCCCCGGGGCCCGGCCAGGGCCCCAGGAGGCCGAGAACGGCGACGCGGACCTCAGGAAGCACCCACGCGGTGCTTTTGGCAAAGGTTGGACCGTTAGCCATCGTGGAGCCCACACGGTGTGCTCATAGCGATGTGTGTTGTGCCATCTATGCGGTGCTACATGTGTTGTGCCATCTAGGTTGTGCAACCTACGTGGTGCAAAGTACGTGGTGCGATGTATGTTGTGCACTCCATGTGGTGCACTCGATGCTGTGCAAACCCTGCGGCGTAATCTACGTGGCTCAATCTATGTTGTACAGGTTGTGTAGAGCAATCTAGGTGGTTTGATCGCTGTCGTGCAATACATGGTGTGCCATCCGTGGTGCAAAATATGTGGTGCACTATCATGTTGTGCACTCAACGTGCTGCAAAATATGTTGTGCGACCCATGTGGTGCAATCGATGCGGCTTAATAATACGCTGTGCAAGCTGTGTTCAGCATGTGGTGCAACTACGTTTTTGTCGCGGTGAGTTGTCGACCCCACTGCTCTCGAAATCGCCACGCCCACTCAACCGCATTTCGGTTTGCAAAAACCATGCGGCGGCGATGGCGATGACTTTGGCGCGTCGCTGCGGCCGCGCTGGCGCACTCAGGCTCGCGCGCACAGCGGCCACGCAAATCGACTCGCCCAGTGGCTGCTGTGCCTTCCCAGGCCCCGCGCACTTGGAAGCGCAGTCTGCCAGGGTGCGCTGCTGTACACACAGAGTGCTGTGCACACGGTGCTGCCTCCTGCCTCCTCCGCTCCCCTCCTCCTGCCCCTTGTGTTATGTCGGACCTGTCCCCCTACAGGGGGATTTTCCACGAAAAATAAAAAATACCCCCCAAAAAATCAAAAAATAATCAAAAAATCGTCCTGGGTCTATTTTCTGAGTATTTTTCGACCTTCTTGGGATATTTTTGGGGTATGTACAATTTTTCGTCGAAAATCCCCCTGTAGGGGGACAGTCCAGACCTAACCCTTGTGCCTCCTCCCGCTCCTCCTCCTGCCCCGGGGTGTCAGCAGAGCACCTCCCTTGGGCGAGGGGTCAGGGGCAGCTGCGACGCTCGAGCGCACCCTCTCATGATGATGAGTCGGACTCCGGAGGCGAAGGTGTCCGATGGGTGTGCGGCCACGAACCGCACCACGTGTGTGTGTGTGTTGTGTGTTGTGTGTTGTGTGTGTGTGTATGTGTGTTGTGTGTGTTGTGTGTGTGTGTGTGTTGTGTGTGTTGTGTGTGTGGTGTGTGTTGTGTGTTGTGTGTGTTGTGTGTGTTGTGTGTTGTGTGTGTTGTGTGTGTGTGTGTGCGTGTGTGCGTGCGTGCGTGCGTGCGTGCGTGCGTGCGTGCGTGCGTGCGTGCGTGCGTGCGTGTGTGTGCGTGCGTGCGTGCGTGCGTGCGTGTGTGTGTGTGTGTTTGGCGCCCTCCTGTGCCCTGTCTCCCTAAAATTAAAGCTGTGCGTAGCCCGCCTAGCTTTTAGCGGAAGAGGCTCGCTCTCGCCCCGCCGACCCAAAAAGTGCGTGTGTATGTGTTACCATGAGCCGCATGGCTTTCGGCCTCCTGCGGCTGCTGCTGCTGGTGCCGACCATGCTCCTGCCCCAAAGAGCGTCAGGCCAGAGGATCTCGCCGCCTGGCCGATGCGTCGGCAGCGCATCGTCGACACGTCGGCGATGTACGCCACACGCCGGCGATGCAGCGGCGACGCCCGCGTGGGAAAGATCGGGCTCCACATCGAGCCGCACCGCCGACGCATCGGCAGGGTGGCGCGATCCTCCTACACCACCTGCGCCGGCCCCATCTTGACGAACCAACAACACACACCCATACCCATAGGGGGATCGGAGAGGGCCATGGGTGCGTGCTGTCGGATGGGAGTCCCCGCTCGAACGGGAGCGCTCCCCAGGGTCCGACAACCCGCACCCATACCCATAACCAGTCCTCCTCCCAACGCCCTCCTTATGGGTATGGGTGTGTGTTGTTCGTTCGTGGGAGGAGGAGGAGGAGGAGGAGGAGGAGGAGGACGAGCAGGAGGAGGAGGAGGAGGAGGAGGAGGAGGAGGAGGAGGAGGGAGAAGGGAGGAGGGGGAGGGGGAGGAGGAGGGGAGGGGAGGAGGGGGGGAGAGGGGGAGGGAGGGGAGGGGGAGGGGGGGAGGAGGGAGAGGAGAGGAGGGGGGAGGAGGAGGAGGAGGAGGAGAAGGAGGAGGAGGAGGAGGAGCAGCAGGAGGAGGAGGAGGAGCAGGAGCAGGAGGGCGGCCCTGCTCTCGGGGCCCTTGCCCGCCAGGGTGGCCTCTGGCGCTCGGGCTCCGCCGCCGGCTCCGCCGCCGCGGCGGGCTCCTCGAGCGCGTCGCCGGCGCCGCGCTCCGAGCACGGCTTGGGGCACTGGGCCTTCACGACTGGTGGGCAGGAGGAGGAGGAGCAGGAGGAGGAGCAGGAGAAGCAGCAGCAGGGGGAGCAGCAGCAGGAGCAGGAGGAGGGAGGAGCAGGAGCAAGAGAGGAGGGAGGCAGGACCCGCAGGGACGGACCGGAAGGAGGAGGAGGGTGGAGGAAGAGGGGGGGAAAGAGGAAAGAAGAGGAAGGATAAAGGGGAAAAAAAAAGACGAGGAGGAGGAGCACGAACCCAACAAACCCTGTGTATCCTCTTCCTATTTCTCCTCCTCCTGTTCCTCATATCTCTCCTCATCCACCACTGAAAGTGGGAGAATGTGCGATTCCTACAGAATCGGCTTCAGATTCCGAAGTCATGCGCCACACTCGAATGGCGAAGTAATTCGCCGTCTGTCCTTTGTTTTGCCACTCCCAACCCACATTTTTCCCCTCGTCCTCCTCCGCCTCCTCTTCATTTTCCACCTTCAGTTAAGTCCCTCCCTGCCTCGAGACTTCTGGAAGCGACCAAGAAGACTCCGAAAGCAGCCATCACAATTTCGGGCCCGTCCTGCTCTTCGGATCCTGAACCCAGTCGTTGCTCACGGAACACCGATCAAAAGCATGGCTGCCGCCGCTCTGAAGCTCGACTCTCGTTGAGCCAGTCGCCTCCTCTTCCTCCTCCTCCTCCTCCTCGTCATCATCATCCTCCTCCTTTTCCTCGTTCTCCTCCTCCATCTCCTCCTCTCACGACTCCTCCTCCTCCTCTACCCCTGCTCCATGTAAACAACTGTTATTTGTCTATCGCACCCCCAGGCGTATCCGTAGGGCAGACCGGGCGTTTCGCCTGAGACTTCCCCATCCCACATCGATTATGATCCTGAAGCTTGAACGTTGCAGCAGCTGCAAGGATGAAGGGTGGGTTGCTTTCAACATGTGGCTTTCGTCTGAAAGCCGCGCACACTCAAAAATGTGTAACAAGTTCAAGGATGGAGTGGCCGGTTTTCAAATGGTGGCTCTCGCATTAGCGCCGCACACATTCGTTCTGCAAGTTCGCAACAGCTTCAAGGATAGAGGGCGGCTATCTTTCAAAATGTAGCGTTCGCATTGGCACCGCGCGCATTCGTTTCAACAGTTTGCATCCGTGTCAAGGACTCGTATGGTCGAAATACCAGGAACTGGGTTCTTGCGCGGCTTAGGATTGTCAGGACTCAGCAGTCACGTTGACCCGTTGTGTTAAAGTTCCAGGAATGGCGCTCTGGCGCGATTCGATAGAAACAGGGAGCAACAGTCACGATGATTCGCTGCGTCGAAAACCCCGCGACTGCGTTACCGCACTGTTGAAGATTGCCCAGACGGTTTTCAAATTGGACACAATGAAAGCAGATTGCTGTAGGAACCTGTAACGAGGGAACTTGGGGGAGGGTGTCATGCAACATCGTTGATGCGCATTGGCCTTACACTGGTCCTCCTCCTCCCCGACACAGGCTGCGCGACCACGTGCGAGACGGCTCACGGCGAATGGCGCGAAGAGCCTTGCAGCCTTGCATCTCAAAAACACGATCCACGAGATCAGCCAGAACTGGTCTGGAAAATGAGGGCCAAGCGTGGCCCTTACATATGCTACGCCGAACTCTGGAGCCAGAGCGCGAGACGACGTGGTCTCACCAGCACAGGCGAGGTCAGCCGTGCGCCACGGCTGATTCAAGCAGCAACCACTTCTGACTACCTACCAAACCACCCCAACCCAACCCGAAGACCCGAATTTCGCCCGAATTTCGGGTTGGGGGGGTACTGGTTCCATTTGTTTTTCCAATGTTCCCCGACCCCCCCCCACTGGAAATGGAGGGCAAATCGATGCCTTCGGGTTGGGTTGGGGTGGTTTGGTCGGTGGTGAACTTCCTCCTCGCCCGGCACATCCCCCACAAGCAAGTTAGCCAACGCGCGGGAACCCCGGGAGAGCGGCGCGGGCATGCCCTCGGCACGGGGACGAAACAGCGCACGCGTCGCGGGGCCCACGCCAGCCGAGCCACACACAGCACAAGCAATACCGCACTGGCCCAGCTCTGCGAGGCGAAAGGGGTTGACTACCTACTGGACCACCCCAACCCAACCCGAAGACCCCCATTTCGGGTTGGGGGAGGTACGGGTTCCATATGTGTTTTTTCAATGTTCCCCGACCCCCCCCCCCAACTGGAAATGGAAGGCAAATTGAGGCCTTCGGGTTGGGTTGGGGTGGTTTGGTGGGTGGTGAGGGGTGGACCACATGGGCTCGGCCCCCAGCGAACGCCACGCGCAAAGCAGAGAGGTCAGCTTGCCTGAGCCCCCGCGGGGTGACAGGGGGCTCGGGCGGGAGAGCGATCTGCGAAGGCTCGCGCAAATCCCACCAGCCCTTTGGGCGTGAGTGGTTTAGCGAGCTCTCTCTGTTCTCAACCCCCTATCTTCCCCTTCGGGGAGGGGTTTACCCCTCCCCCTACCCCCTCCCCCTGGACCTGGACAAGGATTCCCGAGTGGTGGCGGGGGGGTCCATTTCGACTCCTCGAGGGCCAAAAAACGACGACCCTCACGAGGATTCTGGCCCCGGAGGGGGAAGGGGGGGGAGTTTGGTCCCTCTGCTCGTCTTTGAAGCAGAAATCATTGATTTTACGAGGGTGTTGGCCCCATTTTGGCCTTCTGAGGGGGACGCGCTCATCTTCCCTCATAGCAATTGTCCTTCTCAGGGGGCAGCTCTCCTTTGCGCTTCTGCGGAGGTCGCAAGAGGCCCCAAGATGGCCCCAAGAGGCCCCCAGGAGGCTCCCAAGAGGCCTCCAAGAGGCCCCCCAGAGGCCCTCAAGCGGCCCCAAGAGGCCCCCAAGAGGCCCCCAAGAGGCCCCCAAGAGGCCCCCAAGAGGCCCCACGAGGCCCCAAGAGGCCCCCAAGAGGCCACCAAGAGGCCCCCAAGAGGCCCCACGAGGCCCCAAGAGGCCCCCAAGAGGCCCCCAAGAGGCCCCCAAGAGGCCCCCAAGAGGCCCCACAAGGCTCCAAGAGGCCCCCAAGAGGCCCCACGAGGAGCCCGAACGACTCACATCAGGACGAGGGGCCCGAACGACTCACACCACGAAGAGCCCGAACGACTCACACCACAAGAGGGGCGACTCACACCAGGACGAGGCGCCCGAACGACTCACACCACGAGGAGCCCGAAGGACTCACACCACGACGCGGGCCCCGAACGACTCACACCACGAGGAGCCCGAACGAGTCACACCAGGAGGAGGGGCCCGAACGACTCACACCAGGATGAGGGGCCCGAACAACTCACACCACGAGAAGCCCGAACGACTCACACCAGGACGAAGAGCCCGAACGACTCACACCACGAAGAGCCCGAACGACTCACACCAGGAAGAAGGGCCCGAACGACTCACACCAGGACGAGAAACCCCAAACGACTCAAATCACGAGGAGCGCTTTCTCTCCCTCCTCCTCCGCCTCGTCCTTCTCCCGCTCCCCTCACAAGGAGGATGTACAAGGAGGCGGGAGGAAGGAGGAACAGGGGAGATATGCGGGGCCAAGCGCACACACGCCTGAAAAACACGACTGTCGGCATGCTTCGCGAGAGTTGCTGCTGTGAGATGGGCTGGTGGGGATACGCGAAGCGTAAAGAATTCGAGGCCTTCTCACGCTGACCATCCGAAAGATGGACAGAATCAGAAGGCACAAGAGCTGTGCCAACACGGACTACCCAGAAAGCGCAATCTCGCAGCATCGCGGACCCCTGTTCAAGCTCGCGGCGGGCATCTGGCGATAGCTGCGAGAAGTACGAGGCCTGCTTAGCACGCTCGCCCGCAAAGTCGTGACCTCGCCTACGCAGACACGGCGCCTGACCGGGCGGCGGCGACGCGAGCGGCGCGGCCTGGGCCGCGCTCCAAAACTCCGTCCACGACGAAGCTGGAAACGCTGCAAGATGCGGCCCCTAGCAGCGCGACGCAGAGCGCCTCGAGGAAGGCCAACAGCTCGAGAGCATCGACGTCAGCAGCGGGATGCTCAAGCCCTTCCGGGGCCTCGGCGCTCAACGGAAAGGTTCGGGCCCTTCGGGCCACCGTCGATAGAACGCGCGCCCCTGCAAACAGCCGCCCCCGCGGAGCCAGAGATCGGCGGGCCTGGGCGCGAGGGGGGGAGGGGCGAGCGGCGCCAGCTGCTTCTCGGCAGGAGGCGAGGGAACGGTTCAGCGCGCGTGGCAGCAAGCCGCCCGAGGTAGGCGGGCGGCGTCTCCTGGAGCACCCCCCCCCCCGCGAAGCCGCGCGACACGGGTCAGCGCGCAAGGGTGCCGCGCGCGCCGCGGCAGGCCTGGCAGAAAGATGATTGAGAGAGGCCTGCATCGCACTATCTCTGCTGTAGCCATTGGCCACGCGAGACGACGCTGCGAAGATAGGAGGCCCCTCTGGGCCGCGATGTGCTTGCCGCGAACGACTTGATCGATGAGACGCAAAAGGCAGCCGGCCGGAATTTCGGGAACCCCCAGGCGGCCAGCAGCCCCGTTCCAAACTCACCCTCCCCTCCCCCACCACCCGATCGAGCACCAGCACTAGAGACCGATGCGAGAGGTCAGGAGGGCGGGGGGGGGGAGAAGGACCCAACCGTCGGGCGCGACCATCGGAGCCCCATGCATGGGAGCACCGAGACGCAGCGCAGCGGCCACGCAGGCCGAGACAGTGGCCTCGCGTCGCCCGCCAGGGCGAGGCGTGCCCAGACAGGCCAGCCCAGGCATCTCCGAGGCCCCCCCCCGTCAGAGCGGAGATCGGAATCCAGGGGCACCCGAGGGGGGCCGAGGCAGGGGCCGTCGGCGGGCTCCCGCGGAGCAAGCAGGCAAGGTCGATACGGCCAGACTCCGAGGTTCGAAGCCCAGCTGAGCTGCAGTCGAGGAGGAGAAGGAGGAGGAGTAGGAGGAGGAGGAGGAGGGGAGGAGGGGGGAGGGGGAGGAGGGGGAGGAGGAGGGGGAGGGAGGAGGAGGAGGAGGAGGAGGAGCGTCAGCCCACCGCGCCCGCGCTGAGCCTCGACCAGAGCCCGCCGCAACCCCAGCCCCACGAAGCTCCGCGAAGCTCCGCGAAGCTCCGCGAAGCTCCGCGAAGCTCCGCGAAGCTCCGCGCGCCGCCAGCGCCGAGGGTCGCCTGCCCATGCGAAGCCGACGAGGGAGAGGCAGACTGGGCCACGCGGAGCGCCTGCCCGCGCTCGACACGCCGACCGGGGGGCAAGATTTGCTCGCGACGCTGCCTGGCGGGAGCGAAACGCTCGCGTCGAGCGCGTCGCGGGGCAGCGATGCTCCCTGAAAAAGCATCTCCTGTCTTCTCTCGCGGCGGACTCCTTCGACCGACCGCTTGCGCAGCCTGGCCTGAGGACGCGCTCGCAACGCTTGATCTCGAGATCAACTACACGGGCGAGCTCCTCGCGAAGAAGCCCCGCGGTGCCCGCGAGATCGACGATGACCCGACACCCCCGCCCGCGCGCCCGCAAATCAACGTCGCCCACCACCACCCCCTTGCTGCCAGGGCCAAACGCGGCTGAAACGTTTCCAGGAGGCTCAAGCACGACTAGCTAAGGCACGGTCGCAGCGGAGCGGCAACCTGGGATGGCGGTCTGCTGAGAAAGGATGACACGCGAGGCTCAATCGTCTAAGCCGAGGATGTGGGGAGCGCGATGCAACTGGATGAGCAGCTGCAGCTGCCCGAATGGAAACTGGGTGGACCTGAGCAGCGCGTAGCAGCCTGGCGCGAGACATGTGATCGAAGCCCGTTTCGAAATCGCACAAAGCCAAAGCACTGGCGAAGCCGCGCCTGACACTATTCGGACATTGCAGATTGGGTCCAAACCAGCCTTCCCGAGCCGCGCCCCGCCGTGCCTCACCAGAAAAAAGAAAACAAAACAAAAAAACGCTCCTGCCAGGCGCGGACGAGGGGCCGCCGAAGTCGGCATTGAATTCTGGCCAGACTGCGGAGGAGGCCGATTGTTCCTGAGCCCCCCTGTTCCCCAGGGCAGGAAGACTACCTTAGCGCGCACGAGTGGCCACTCACACTGCATCTGCACATCCACGATCAGGCAGACGAGCACGGCGCTGGCCGCTGTCGCCCGACAGCCTCGCCCGCGAGGCTGTCCAACGAGGCGAGGAGCGACGCCGTCGAACCCGCAAGCCGACCGAGGAGGAGGAGGAGGAGGAGGAGGAGGAGGAGGAGGAGGAGGAGGAGGAGGTGCCTCTCCCTGGCGGCGGGCTCGGGCCAGACCGGCCCCCGGCCCGGCGGGCCCCTGGGCGAGAGGCCGCGGGCCACCCCGAGCCACCAGCAGCGGCACCGGGCCCCCCGAGCGGCAGGGCCCCTGCCCTGCCCAGGGCTTGCGGGCGGGGCAGGAGGCAGGAAGGGCGCCGGCATCGCCGAGGCGCGGCGCGGCCCGCCGGGGCGCGCGGCCCCCTCGACGGAGCGATCCCGAATCCACCGGCGCCAGGGGGCGCTCCTGGCGTTGACCGCCTTTTTGCGCTCCCGACATGCTCTGGCTCAGGCTCCAGAAGAGAGAAAGCCGAGGAAAGCTCGCACTGGCACGCGCGGCACTCTCGGGGGCAAGCAGCCAGGCAGCAGCCTCGGCCACGGCCTCGAGAGATGCGGCGCGTTCTTCGCCCCCCTGCGCAGCGCGCGGCAACAAGCAGGCGCACAAGGGCGCCGCATGCTGGGATGCCAAAAACTTGGGCAGTGGAACGCGCAGCCAGCACGCTGCCACCAGACGGCCACGGGGCGCAGGCACGGAAAATGAAGCCGCCGGGGAGGGCGTGGCCGAACCTGATCGACGCATGGCTCAGCAGCACGTCCAGCGTACTTGGGCTCCCCCTTGGGCTCTATCTGGAGAATCGAAAAAACTCGCCCCTGCGAGGTCGATGGACTGCTGCCACTGCTGCTGGACGCTGCGATCGGTGAGGTCGGTGAGAAACCCATCCCACGGCGGCACCCAATCCCGCGCCGCACAACTGGCAGGCCGAACGCGCGGGAAGCGACGCGGTACCCGCACCTGAGAGACAAACACTGACCGAGACTGTCTAACAAGCGTGATGCAAAGAGGCTTGTGCGGTTCAGTTGCGTCAGACAGAGAATCTAAATGCGGTGGCCGAACTGCAAAGACTGATCACAACGGAGTGGCCGATCGTACGACATGCTTTGCCGAGGAGCAAGTTGGCATGGTGGGAGCAAAGATGGCCGCGTCTATACACTCAGCTCAAGTGCTAGCTTGACGAATTCTGGTGGCATCTGGAAATCGCAGTGTTCCACGAAAGGCATACAGCAACTTTCTTACGAACCCACATACCTGACACCAAATGGGCAAACTCTCAGCTGCCAGTCCCATGCTGTGATGCAAGCACATCACGATCCACATGAATGCCCCTGGACAGAGCCCGCCCACATGCAGAACGCTGAGACGCCCCGGGACGTGATCGGTGGAGACAGTCTCAACCTCACTCAACTCGTGCCCCGCGGTGAGAAAACCGAATCCACCACTGGCACCTTTGCCTGACTGAGAGACTGCTGCTGGAGGGGGCCTTGCCATGCCACCCGGCCCGCCGCAGCTCGTGCTCGAGACCGACCGTCTCGAGCGGATGGTGCCCCTGGAAACAAGATGCCTGGGAAGCACGAACCACGGGGTCCACCAGGCCCAACGACAAGAACGCACCACGAGGAGAACGCACCAAGTCTACCAAATGCCTGGGAGGGAAGCACCACGAGGAGCTCGCCAGGCCCAGCCACGCCCGCAATGCTGAAGCGACGATGCGGAAACAGCCACCCGCCATACACCAGCCTCTGCCGCGCCGCCACCCGAGCCAGTGCCTGGCCGGGCGCCCGCCGCCGACGGGGCCACCGAGCCCACCCTGGCGGGGTGGGCCCGGGCAGCCTGGCGGAAGTCTTGCCGCGGCTCCACGGCCGGACCCCGGCCCGCCCACGAGGTTGCCGAGCTGCCAGTCGAGGGGGGCGGCCTGGTCCTCAGCGGCTGGCGCGGCTGAGGCCGGCTGCTCGGGCTGCGAGGCACGGAGGGGAGGAGAAGCGGGAGCAGCGGGAACCTCCGCCGCGTGGCCGAGCTCCTTGGCCGTGCCTTCGAGCTTCTTCTTGGAGGCTCTCGTGCCGCTGACGACCCTCGGCATCCTCTGGGATGGGGCGGCCGAGGACACCATTGGCCCATGCGTGAAATTCTATTTCGGCGGGCGCGCGGGCCAGCTCGGGCCTGGCGGCGGCATCCTGGGCAGCCCAGGTGGCTGGGGCAAGCTCATCCTTGGCTGTGTGCGCAGCCTTGAGAGACTCGGTGAAGGTGACCATGGCACGGTCGTGCTTGCTTTGGGCCCGCAAAATATGGGACTGTGTAGCGCCTTGCCTGACACGCGCCGCCCTCGCTGCAGCTTGAGGGTCACGGGACATCGCGAGCAGCCCTGATACGACCGAGAATTCTGGGGTGCCAGTTGGCGCTGATCGCACCAAAGGCACTCTGGTCCATAGCCGCGCACACTGCTCAATCCTTCCCTGTGATCGAGGTGGGCCCGCAGTAGGCGGCGAGCTTGGGCGGTCCTTGACTCCACTGGCCACGGGAAGGCTGAGGAATCGCTCCGCTAGGCTGGCTTGGGTGGCAGCGCACATGCGGCAGGAGGTGCGTCAGCCATAATAGCATCGGTACCCACACATGCGCGTGTGTGGACAAGACCAACAGCTACACATGGATGAGGTATAAGAGGCGCGCCAAGGCAGTGAGGGCTGGAACCTCAGTTCAATAGCGAAGATGTGGAGGCTGAACCTCTAGAAAGGTGTTGGGGCCGCGACATCCCCTTACTAAAACTGTTCCTTTAGTCCAGAGCCACGCTAAGGACTTGAGCCAACATGGCTACGGACCACCTCCTCCTCCTCCTCATCGTCATCATCAGCAGCATCATCATCCTCCTCATCCTCCTCCTCCTCCTCCTCCTCCTTCTGCCCTCCTCCTCCTCCTACTTTTCCTCCTCCTCCTCTTTCTCCTCCTCCTCCTCCTCCTCCTCCTCCTCCTCCTCCTCCTCCCACCCTCCCAAACATCCGACATCATGTTTTCTTGCAACGTGGCTCCATGAAGGTCTGGACCCCTTCCTGGGGGCCGGGGCCTTTCATGCTGAGTAAAGGTCCAAAGGCCCCCAGGAAGCCGTAAACGGCGGCAAAACCGTCCTTCGTGCTGTTTTTACCGGGTGAAGATGCCAGGGCTCGCTCCTCGCGCCGGACCTTGCCCTGCTGGTGCAAGACGGCCTGCATCTCCCTGTCGGTGGACCCAGGCCCGAGGCTCGGGTACCAGTCGGGGTGCCGATCGAAGCCGAAATTCCTCAGCCACTTCATGGAGTTCGAGCACCGGCCACCTGGAGCCACGCAGGAGGCCGAGGATCGAGAAGCAGGACCGATGACGAGCAGGACCGACGAGGAGCAGGATCGAGGAGGAGGAGGAGGATAAGGAAAGGAGGAGGATCGAGGAGGAGGAAAGGACAAGGGTCGATAGAGCGGATCGAGGAAGAGGATCGAACACGGAGCATGGAGCACGGACTGGCCTGCCTCCAAGGAGGCAGGTCCGAGGCTGGACGAGGAGGAGAAGGAGGAGGCTTGAGATCGAGGATGAGGGCCGAAAAGGGGATCGAGGAAGAAAGGACGAGCGTAGAGACGGCACGGAGAGGAGTTGCGCAGCCTCCACCCCCAACGAGCGACGCCACGGCACGCTCGCGCAGACCAGGAATACAGGCGCCAGGGACAAGGACAAAGAGAAGGTTCGAGGATCGAGGTGGCTGGACGTCTTTAGCCCTCTCTGGACCTCCGGACGCCTCTGGAGACTTCCCGCGAGGGAGGAGGATTGTGCTAGAATTGTGCTACTTAGGACTTACGCAGATGGATAGCACTACGCAAGCCGCCTTCGCCGTGCAAGTTTAGACTTACAGGCGCTTCCCGATGGATGGATGGCGGCCCTCCCACAAACGCATCAATCGACCCTTGGCCGTCCGAGCTCGGGCGGGCCTATAGCCCTCCTTCACACGGTTCGTCCACTTACACTGAGCGTAGGAAGAGCATCGCCTGTAGAACACAAAAAACGGGGCACAACACGAGGTGGTGTCGTTGCCCCTGTGCCTTAAGGATGCGTGCTTGTCGGGCTTTGAATTCGATAGCTTCTTCGCCCGACGGCCCGCTCTGAGTCTGGCTTGTGGCCCTGGGAGTACGACGGTCCCTGGGGCCCACAGACGGGGAGGGGGGAGGCATCAGAGGAGGAGCAGGATTCGACTCGGCGGCCTGACTCGGGACAGGTCCACTGATGCTGCTCGCTTCGACATCGTTTATCGTGTCGACGACATCGGACGACATAGCGCCGAGCCTGATAGCAAACTCCAGCTCAGCTACCATGGTACGCTTTTGCTGAGACGCCTGGCGCTGCCAGATCGGGTGAGCGCACAAGTTAGCCCCCTCCTTCACGTATTTGTCCGCGAAGCGGTTGCCTTTGAACAGTCCCTCGCCAAACTCTTGCCGCTGGGCTCAGGTGACTTGGGCCTTGCGGTTTATTATCTGGACGGTCCTGGGGCCCAGCCCTCCAATATCGTTGACCAGAAACCAAAACTCTCGCCAGAGAACGCTGTGTGCCCTGGCAGGGGGCGAGCACCACTCCTCCCCTTTGGATGTTCCGTCTACTGCCGCCTGGCAGTCGCAAGAGATTTTGAGGGGCGGCCTCGCGCCCCTCAGCACCTGAAAGATAGCGTGCAGCTCTGACGGATATATCCCTTGCCGATTTTGAGGCATGGGCAGGGGGCTGAAATCTGAAAAACCTCTGCTCTCCCCTGAGGCACCCAAGGTGGCGAAGTTCCACCCCGCACGCGTAAGGGGGACAAATTCACCGTACAGGAGTGGTCCATATGTAGAGACCTCTCCTGTGATGACCCCTGGCTGTTCGCCCTCATGTTGGACCTCGGCCGAGACTGGCAGAACATCCAGGAGTTCTATAGGGTCCTCGGAAATTCCTCTGGCCCAGAGGGATTCAAAACCTGGGAACGGGTTTGCTCCTTTCTGCTGCACGTGCCTGCCACCTATACGCCTGCGCATCACATGACGCGCTCTGCATACGTACGTGCGGCGCAAGTCAGCACCTGCAACATTCATATCAACCAGTGCCAAAACGTGCACCTCGGTCCCGCGCGTGACTGTAGCTGGACTCAGGGTGCTGCAAACAAGGCGAATTACAGTTATAATGCACACGCCTGCAGGCCCTCTCACTAGGCCCCACGGTCTCGGATGCCCGTGGAGTCGCATGACCCACGAGCGCCAGCTCGTCACCAAGAGGCCGCGCGTGTCCATGTACGTCTCATCCTGCCCCGCCCTGGGCCACTCCACGATGGGCCCCGCGTCGGCGCTCACGGCAGGGTCCGCGTCCTCCGCCAGCAGCAGCGGCGCGGCCGTCCTTCCCTTGTAGCAGCCATGGGCGGCCGCCGCCACCGTCTGCCTGCACGTGGCGATCAGCGTGTCTATGTCGTCCTGCCCGCGTGTGCCGTAGAACTCCGACGGCGTGCCCCCGAGCTTGACCACCTTCTCCGCTGCGCCTCCTGCTGCCTTGACCCGCTGGGTGTTCCAGCTCCTGGCCGTGGCATCCGCGATCCTCTTGGACTGGGCTCCGACACGACGTCGCCGCTCAGCTAACTGGGTCGCACCCGAATGTACGGCTTGTCGCACCACCTGAATGCCCATCTGCTTGCTGTGGCTGTCCAGCTGCCACTCGACTCTGCCATGTGAGACTGCGACAACGGTCATGCCGTCTCTGCCTCTCGATAGCTACCGCTTGAGCACCTGCTCGAAAACGAGGACGATCTCGTCGGTCAGCCTCATGTGGGGCGCCGCCACGGCGGCCACATCGCCTCGGGTCGACGCCTCTAGGTCGTCGAAGTATAGGCACACGCCTGCCCTCGGGCTCGCGACGTAGAGGTCGTCGATGGTGCCGATGAGACCGAGGGACAAGCACAGCGGGCTGCACACGGATCCTGCCACGATCCCTCGCTCCCAGAAGTTGCCCTCGGTGTTGCACCCATACAGCGCCACTCTCTCCATCATAGCTCGCGCCGTCGGGGCTCTCTTGTCCCTGACCGCTGGGGGCGCAAACTCTCGCATCTTGTAGACAGCCTTAGCGCCGTGCCCATTGTGGGCTGGCAGTCCATCGCCGTCAAAGCATTGATGTATATTCCAGTGCATCTCGAAAGCGTACATGCGGTCGTGCCAGAAGGCGTTCCGAGCTTCGTGGTCGATGTACTCCCGACTGAGGGGGCGCGGCCTCTGCACTGGAGGGGTGGGGCACCCTGTTGGCACGACCAATGCCCAAGGCACCTTCTGTGTGAGCTTGAGGGCCTGTGGCATGCCTTCCTTGGTCGGTGCGCTGAGCACCAGTCCTGCCTTCCAGCCATGGATGAGCCTGGCTGACAGCAGCTTCACTTGCTTGGGCGCCAGCTGGTGCTCCTTATCGAAGACGACTGGCGCCTCGTCCTGGTAGCGCAGCTGGTGCAGCACCGTCTCGAACTTGTTGGGGGTGTTCGCATTGCACGTGATGAACACCTGTTTGTCTGACCTGGTACTTGCACACTGCTCGGATATGTCGCTAGGACCGCTACAGGCTCGACTTCCGCTTCGCGGACTGGAACCCATCAGCCATATCAGCAAGACTAGTATGCAACATTGGCCCACGCTTCTGGACTCCATGATCCTTGGCACCGGCCTGCTTGGGGGCTGTCTCGATCTCCTGGGGCTTGCCTTGGCCTTGAGCTGGAGGGCGTCCTCGCTCTGCTCCTCGGGGCCTGCACAGGCGCGCCTCTTGTAACGTGGGCAGTCGCCGCTGAGGCTTGCCCCGTCTTCGTCCATCGCCACCGCCGTCTTCTCTGCGGCGTTCGCCTTCTTCTTTGCCACGAGCGCGAGGGCCGCTTCCACCAGCTTGGTGACCTCCGCATCCTGCTCCTCGCCGTCCGACCCGAGGGCCGTCTTGGCGAGCTCCAGGTGCACGCAGACCGAGTCCCAGCGCTTGGACATGGGGGGCCTGGCCAGCGACTTCTCCTTGCCGCGGAGGAACTCGACCTTCTTCCCCGCCTGCTCGGCCTTGTTCTGCGCCACGTGCAGCTGAGTCTGGATGTCCTCAAGCTGCCTCCTGAGCTTCGCCACTTGGGCGTCTGCCTTTGTCTGCGCTCTCTCTGCTCCACGGAGACGGCGGCGCACTGCCACATCCGCGTCGCATGCTGGTAGTGTTGCTTCCTTATGTGCCAGCGGCCCAACGATCTGCTCATGCAGCTTCGTCGTGGCCTCCGATGCGAACCCCATGCCAGGTTCCTGCGCGAGCTGATCCAGATCTTTGAGGCGGGCCCTGTAGATCTTCAGCTTCTCCGCAAACCCTGACGTGGTCTCCTTCGAGGCGTCGCCATCGGCGTCCTGGTGCGTGTCCTTCGGTTTGTCGCCCTGCCAGTCGCTCTTGGACGCCAGCCGAGGCTTCTTACACCAGTAGCATACTTTCGTCGTTCCCCAACAATCATCTGCGTGGCACGCTGCGCAGGTCCACATCGCCAGACTTCGGGGGCATCAGGCTGCTCGGGGCGGCAGTGCCACTGCCAAGCTTGCCGTTCCCTGCGACACGAGAAACCTCCTGGCACCTGGAAAAATCTCGAGTCGGGCAATGGCTCGCGAGGGAGGAGGAGGAGGAAGAAGAGGAGGAGGAGGAGGAGGAGGAGGAAGAGGAGGAGGAGGAGGAGGAGGCGGAGGAGGAGGAGGAGAGGAGGAGAAGAGGAGGGAGGAGGGCCCAGCGTAGAGGAAGAGGAGGAGGGGAAGATGAGGAGGAGAGGAGGAGGAGGGGAAGGGGGGAAGAGGAAAGTGGGGAAGGGGGATGGGGAGGGTGAGGAATGAGAGCAGGAGGTTGGCTGTCCGCGGAGCGCGAGGAGGATATTCAGCACCAGTCGCCTGGGGCCGCATCGCCACAGACGTTGTGCGGAGGTTGCGCGACTGCTCCGCGCCTGGTATACTGGCCGTCGGGCACGATGAGTGCCTCTTCAGCGGTGACGGTCGGTAGCGAGCAGCAAGGGGGCAGGGCGGTGGGGGCGGTCTCGTGTGATAACGCAGAGAACTTCTTGGAAGTACGTTGCCCCTCCTCCTCCTCCTCAGCATCAGCATCAGCATCATCATCATCATCATCATCATCATCATCATCATCATCATCATCATCATCATCATCATTGTCATCGTCATTGTCATCGTCATCATCATCATCATCCTGATCATCATCATCAGCATCATCATCATCGTCCTCCTCTTCCTCTTCCTCGTCCTACTCCTCCTGCTCCTCCTCTTCCTCCTCATCATCATCCTCATCCTCCTCATCCTCCTCATCCTCATCCTCGTCCATCATCATCATCATGGCCCCTCAAAAGCCATACGCCCCCCCCCCCCCACACCGTGTAAGAAGCGGGAGGGAGGGGCACCCCCGAGATGGCACAGGATTGACAATATCGGATATGGTCGATGATAACACACGAGATGCACTTCTGCACGCGTGTCTGCATCGCACGTGCTGGACCGACTCCGCACTGATTCAAAACGCCGAGGTTCACGGCCCCGCCTGATCACAATACCATCTGCGAAGTAACTCCGTAACAGCACGGCAACTAGTTTTACGAATAGCCATGTGGGCGTGGGATACACACGCTAACCTGGCATTACGAGAATGGCGTCCCAACGTTGGTTTACGTTGTGAAAGCAACAGAACAATTGTTCGCATGGCAATGCTAATGACGTGGATACGGTATCTGTATAAACGGAAACGCGCAAGCAAGCGAAGCAGGCAAGAAAAAACGTCTCGGACGGAAGTCCGATACCAATGCACCTAGGCCCACCTGAACGGCTGACGATGCCTCCAGCGAATGCCAACGATACGCGCGCCCGTACATGTCCGTATCTACGTGTGTGTGTGTGTGTGAATGTGTGTGTGGTGTGTGTGGCTGTGTGTTTGTTTTGTGTGTGTGCGTGTGCGTGTGCGTGTGCGTGTGCGTGTGCGCGTGTGTGTGTGTGTGTGTGCGCGTGTGCTTCTCATTCATTTCAATCATCGGACGCAGTTCTCAGCACACACTATGCTTTTAGGCCTGAGATTTCTCTCGGACAGTAGCTCGAAACCTGTATGCTCGATTTCTTTTCTTTTCTTTTGGTCTAATGTCTCGGGCTGTCAGCGTTGGGTAATCCGCGCGTCGCCGTTGTCGGGACTCTTGGGGTCCTGGTGGAGTGCCAGCGCAAGCTCTCTGTCTTCCTCTTCCTCTCTCTCTCCTGCTTGTTTTCTTCCTCGCCTTCGTCCTCCTGCCTCTTGGCCGTGGCCCCGCTCCCTCCCCCCCTCGCCTGTGCCTCCTGGCCGTGATCCTACCAGATAGCTGCCGTCTGGCATTCACATGGCAGCCTTTATGTTCAAAGCCTCCGAGCGGGGGGGGTCAGGAGCTCGCTCAAGGCCTAAGGGCCGCACTTACGTATTGGCTCCTCGCTCGACTGCGCTTGTGACAAGATACGGAAAGACTCACGACATCTTTCTCATGTGTTGCTTCAGTGTGTGATTGCCTACGCCTATCGGCGATTTAGGCTTCGCCTCTCCTGGCACTCAACGGTGGTGACGTCTTGGGGAGCTGGTCTGCGGGAGCCCGTGTGTCTTGCTAACTACAACTCGTCCAAGTGTGTGTGTGTGTGTATGTGTGTGTCGTCTTTCCTCGTCATGCACGGAAGAGGACAAACACGGGACGCCGACAGCCACAGACATCCTGTGGGAGCCGGCATTGAAAACCTACTTCCGTGGCACTGGCTCCATTCAATGTTGTGCTACACCATGGGATCACATAAGTCCGCCGGCCCACTTGTGGGGCCACCAGGCTGTAGGCCAGAGATTCGCAGTTTCCTGTGCCAGTTGCAGCTTCCAGTTTCCACTGTTACAGCTCTGCTTCTTGCTGCTTGCTGTTCCTTTTTGACTTCTTCCTGCTTACGGTTCCTTGTTGATGGACCGCGCGAGGGGGGGAGGCCCAAAACGGGCATTTTCACCATGCCCAAATCGTATTGTATGAATTGCTGGGGTGGGTTAAAACTGACACCCCTCACGCAGATCGGCGGGGTCAGGGTCCAAAAACATAAGGGATTTGCCACTTTTCTAAAATCCGGTGGCACCCCTCACGCAGATCGGCGGGGACAGGGTCCAACATGATCGACCCACGAACCCGGAAAGGAATATAGAAATGTAACGCATGGCAGCGTTTTCAAAGACACCTGATTGGGTGAAGGGCAAGTGCAATGCTGATTGTATCGATCTTGATGTACCGTGCCGAGGTGCTGAATTGCGATGTGCCATGCCGCGGTTGTGCTCTATAGCGTCGTGGATCGAGTCCTCCTTTGCATCCGAGTCCTGACCGAACTGATCTGGATCTTAAGCTCGAGCGGCCTGAACACATGGAAGCTGCCCCAGAGCTAATTGACAAGGGGGCATGCCAGGAGGACGTGCCGCGAAACGTCCCAAGGGACGCGCCAGGCGACGTGCCAGGGGACGTGCCATGGGGTCGCACCGTAGGACGTGCCAAAGGGACGCGCTACGGAACGTGCCAATGGATGTGCCACGGAATGTGCCAGGGGACGCGCCACGCGACGTGCCAGGGGGACTCGCCAAGGGACGCCCCACGGAACGTGCCAAGGAACGTGCTGAAAGGCAATGCTGATTGTATCGATCTTGATGTACCGTGCCGAAGTCTGTGCTGTGCTGCACCGTGCTGAATTGCGATGTGCCATGCCGCGGTTGTGCTTTATAGCGTCGTGGATCGAGTCCTCCCTTGCATCCGAGTCCTGACCGAACTGATCTGGATCTTAAGCTCGAGCTGCCTGAACACATAGAAGCTGCCCCAGAGCTAATTGACAGGGGGACATGCCAGGAGGACGCGCCACGGAACGTCTCAAGGGACGCGCCAGGCGACATGCCAGGGGACGTGCCATGGGGACGCACCGCGGGACGTGCCAAGGGGACGCGCTACGGAACGTGCTGGACACAAGCGTTTCGCTCGAGACATCCTGTCAAAATCCTCATTCTAGACATCCGCCCGAGCGACCTGGACACGTGAAAACAAACGTTTCGCTCAACACATCCTCAACACATTCTCATGCTAGGCATCCGCCTGGGCGAACTGGACACGTGAAAACAAGTAGTTCGCTCGAGACATCCTCGGCACATCTTCATGTGAGACGTCCGCCTGGGTGACCTGGGCACATGAAAACAAGCGTTTCGCTCGAGACGTTTTCAACACCTACTCATTCTAGACATCCGCCTTGGCGACCTGTACACGTGAAAGCAAACGTCTCACTCGAGACATCCTCAACACATCTTCATGTTAGACATCCGCCTGAGCGACCTGGACACGTGAAAACAAGCGTATATATTGAGACATTCTCAACACATTCTCATGCTAGGCATCCGCCTGGGCAACCTGGACACGTGCAAACAAGCATCTCGATCGAGACTTCCTCAACACCTCCTCATTCTAGACATCCGCCTGGGCGACGAGGACGCGTGAAACCAAGCGTCTCGCTCGAGATATCCTCAACAAATCCTAGCGCTTGACCTCTGCCTGGGCAACCTGGAGGCGTGAAACCAAGCGTCTCGCTCGAGACATCCTCAAGACCTGGGCACGTGAAACCAAGCATTTCACTTGAGAGATCCTCTAAATTCTGGTCCCCAGGAGAGGACAATCTATAACACACAACAAGCGTTTCGCTCGAGACATCCTCAACAAATTCTGAAAAACAAGCGTTTCGCTCGAGACATCGAGACATCCTCAAATTTTAATTCGCCAGCCCTCTTCCCACTCGTTATTTATCGCAAAAGAAATCAGCCGGCCCTCTTCCCGTCAAATCCGAAGGTAAACCTCTAAAAAACAACCCTGGGCATGCGCCCTTCCGGGAAAAACACAAGGGGATTTGCCTCTTTTCTGAAATTCGGTGGCACCCCTCACGCAGATCGGCGGGGTCAGGGTCCAAAAACACACGGGATTTGCCACATTTCTGACATTCGGTGACACCCCTCACATAGATCGGCGGGGTCAGGATGCAAAAACACACGGGATCCGTCACATTTCAGAAATCCGGTGGCACCCCTCACGCAGATCGGCGGGGTCAGGGTCCAAAAACGAAAAGGATTCGCTACATTTTTGACGTTCGGTGGCATCACGCAGATCGGCAGGGTCAGGGTCCAAAAACACACGGGATTTGCTACTTTTCTCGAATTCGGTGACACACCTCACGCAGATCGGTGGGGACAGGGTCCAAAAACACATGGGATTTGCCACATTTCTGACATTCGGTGGCGCACCTCACGCAGATCGGCGGGGTCAGTGTCCAAAAACTCAAGGGATTTGCCACTTTTTCTAAAATTCGGCGGCAACCCTCACGCAGATCCGTAGGGTCAGGGTCCAAAAACACGAAAGATTTGCCACAGTGCTGAAATCCGGTGGCACCCGTGACGCAGATCCGTAGGGTCAGAAGCGAAAAACAAACAGGTCCCAACACTGCTTCACGGCGAAGCCAAGCCTCATGACTTCGCTCTTCCATGGCCCATTCTCCGAGAGAGGTGGCCGGCGGCAGGGGGCGAAACCCTTACAGATATACATGAAGATGCATTTACATATATATATATATATATATAGAGATATATGGAACTATACAGAAATTTATATATATACATGAAAGCACACCTGAATAGTGTACATGTATCTCTATATATATATATATGTATATATATATATATATATATATATATATATATATATATATATATATATATATGTATTGCAGGCCGTTTGTCCGAAAGTAGGCTTTGTCTTGGGGGATGCTACTTGTTCGTGAAGACACTGGTGGGTGCCAGACCCCAGGGTTCCTTGGCCATGTTTCCTTACAAAGGGGTTCCCCAGGGTTCCCTGGTCCCGCTTCTTTAAAGGCCATGCCCAGGTTGCTTGGTCGTGGGTTCCTCGGGGGTCCCCCAGGTTCCACGTGCTCCTTGGTCTTGCTTCATTCTTGTATGCGCAGCAATGCCACGCCATACGAAGGAATGGTCAGGCAATGGCGAGGGAGGCCAAGCAACGCCAAGCAATGCAAAGCGATGCCAAGCAATGCAAAGCAGTGAAAATAAATGCCAGGCAACACAAAGGAATGCAAAGCAACACTAAGCGAAGCCAAGAAATTTCAAGCAAAGCCAAGGAATGGACTTTGAAGCTAAGTACCGCAAATAATGCTGAGAAGCGCAAAGCAACGCAAACAATTGCAAATCATTGCCAAGCGGTGCCCAGCGATGCCAAACAATGCCAAGCAATGCAAAGAAATGCCAAGTAACGCTGGGCAAGACAAAGCAGTGTCTGCCAAGCCATGCCGGTCAGGAAGCGTTCCCCCGAGAGGGGTCGCGCCAGGTCCATTGTCGCTTGCGAACGCTCGTCGGCGCCTTCTGGCACGGCTTCCTGCAGCCCCCCTTCCCGAGGGAGTGGAGCATCATCTGGACGTCCTGGAAGGGCGTGTCGCTGGATCCGCCGGCCCCCTTGTGGGGCAATCGCCAGGTGTGGTAACCCCTCTTGTGATCAGTTGGTTTTGCTGATTGCGACTCGGCTTCGCATGAAGTTTCGACGACAGCGCCAAGGCCTCATGACTTAGCTCTTCCATGGCCCATTCTCCGAGAGAGGGGGCCGGCGGCAGGGGGCGAAGCCCTTACGGATAATCCTGGGTACCACTCGGGGTGCTTCGCGAACCCACCCTCGAGCAGCCACGCCACGGAGTGATGGCAAAGGCTGCCCTCCGCCGCGTCCTCGCAGTCGGACGCGCCCGCGGCGGTGGCCGGGCCGTCGGACGCCTGCGCGGGGCTGCTCTCCCCCTCCTCCCTCCTCCCTCCTCCTCCTCCTCCTCCTCCTCCTCCTCCTCCTCCTCCTCCTCCTCCTCCTCCTCCACCTCCCTCCTCCTCCTCCCCCTCCTCCTTCCTCCTCCTTCTCCTCCTCCTCCTCCTCCTCCTCGTCCTCCTCCTCCTCGGCGCCCCCGTGCTCGCCAGCAGCTCCTCGAGCTCGGCGGCGCCGAAGCCGTGCGCCTGGGCCTCGCCCATCTGCAGGAGCCCCAGCGCGTGCTGCTGCCGCTCGACGTCGGCGTGCTCCGGGGCGCAGGGCAGCGTGCACTGGGCCACGCCGAGCTGGTGCAGCAGCGACTGGAAGTCCCAGGCGGTGTACTGGCCCACGTCCCCCGGAAACCAGTCCGGGTGCTCAGTGGCGCCTCGAATTCCCTCCCACCCCACCCTCCACGCCGTGCTCCAGTCCTCCCCTGCCCGCTGCCCTTACACCTCGGGGTATGTCCCCCTCCTCTCCCAAATCCTCCGTCCGTTTTTCTCCACATGTGTAATATATATATATATATATATATACGTGTACACATACAACTGCGTGCACGTATTATAAACATATGCACTTGTTACACTAAAATGTGTATATATATGTATATATATACACATAGATGTACATATATGCACATACACACACACACCAGTGGCACGGGCGTGTCCAGGCTCATACGAACAGAGAACTGCAGCACGTGAGCATGGCGGGAAATGGGCAAGAAGAGGAATACAAAGTCAGATCTGGTGACCAGGAGGAATCTGAAGATGGATAAGCAGAGGGAACTGACAAGCAGAAGGAGGATCACCAGAGGGCGGTTGGCAAGGACGCAGGAAGGGGTTCCACAGGCTGCGAAGTTCATGTTGGGAGGATACCTTGAGCGAAACTGTCGTTCTGGAGATTACGAGGGCAACTTTGAATACGTCGGGTTCTGATGTTGGGGCATGTCTCACGCGGAACGGCAGTATGTCCAAGAATCGCGTCCCAGACCATTGAAATCCAATATGTGCTTGAAGGTTTGACGTTCGGACCCTGGCGCTATCTGCCTGAGGGGTGCATCCAGTTGGCGGAGTTATGACGCGAATGTCCCAAGCGAAACGGCAAGACAAATCGCGAACAGGGCCCTCTGGCTTTGATGAATCGCCTCTGAGCTCTACTCCCTCGGCGAGGCGCGTATGATGACCTCATCGGACAAGAACGGGAAGCACCGATGTTGTCCATTGGGCTCGTAAGGATGATGGCGACGACAAGGCGGCGGACGACGAGGATGACAGGGTGGATGACGGGGAGGGCAGCGCTGCGAGCAGGAGGACAACGAGTAGGACGACAAGCACGAGGACAAGCTGGAAGAGATGGAGGAGGACGAGTACGAGGATGAACGAAGCGGAGGGGGGGGAGGAGAAGAAGGACGACGACGGAGCCCGAGGAAAAGGGCGTCGAAGAAAGGGGGTCCCCGTGATCTTTGAGGCTACCCTGGGGGTTGTTGGGGCCATCTGGGGCTATCTAGGGGCATCCTGGGGGGACTCCTGGGGGCCTGTCGGGGTCCTCTTGGGGGCTACTGGGGTTGTCTTAGGTTGCCTGGGCGTGTCTTAGGATTATGTGGGTGCTCTCTCAAGCAGTCATGGCGCCACCTTGGGCTGTTTTTAACCGACTGGGGGCCTCCTGGGGCTCTCTTGGGGGCCTCTTGGGACCCTCTTTGGGTCCTCCAGGAGGCCTCTTGAAGCTCTTTGGGGTCACGGTGGGCTTCTCCAAAAGCGATTCCAAGACGATGCTGATTCAGAGCCCACTGCGGTCTGCCGCGCTGATGTTTCGCTTTCCTGTGGTCCGCCGTGCTCGTTATGTGCTTATCGTTCTGGTCTGCCGTGCTGCCGTGGTCTGCCATGCTGGTCCGCCATGCTCCTTTGGTCTGCCATGCTGCTGTGGTTCGCCGTGCTGGTCTGCCGTACTGGTGTGCCGTGCTGCTGTCTGCCGTGGTGCCCCGTGATGGTGTGCCGTACTGCTGTGGTCAAACCTCGCTGCTGCGGCTTGCCGTGCTGTTCGGCTCTGCCGCGATGCCGCGATCGGCCGTGAGTGTGTGCCACGCTCCCGTGGTCCGCCGTGCTGGTCTGCCACGCTCCCGTGGTCGGCCGTGCTCCCGTGGTGTGCCGTGCTGGTGTGCCGCGTTCCTGCGGTCTGCCGTGCTGGACGGCCATGCTCTTGAGGTCTGCCGTGTTGGTGCGGCCTGCCGTGCTGGTCTATCGTGTTTCTGTGGTCCAACGAGCTCGTTCGCAACACTTCTGCTGCGTATCGTTATGGTCTGCCGCACGGCCGTGGCCTGCCGCTCTGGTCTGCCGTGCTCCCGTGGCCTGCCGTGCTGATCTGCGGTGCTCCCGTGGCCTGCGCTGCCGTGCTCCTGCGGTCCGCCGAGCTGGGCCTGGACTGGCCCAAGAGCAGCAAGAAGCGAGGCAAGACAGGCAGGCCCTTGCAGCAAAGAAGGTGGGAGTGAACGGGGGCCTACGAGGCCCACGGGGGAGAGGCCCTCACCGACCCCCACAGCTCCGAGACGCTGCTGCGCGCGAGCGAGGCGCGGCTCCCCCCTCCTCCTTCTCCTCCTGCTCTTCATCCTCCTCCTCCCAGCACCGCTTCTCCTCCTCCTGCTACCTCCGCCCCCTCCTCCTCCTCCTCCTCTCCTCCTCCTTCCTCCCACCTCCTCCACCTCCTCCCCTCTTCCTCCGCCTCTCCCCCTCCTCCTCCTCGTCATACCCTCTCCTCCACCTCCTCCTCCTCCTCCTCCTATCCTCCTCCACCCTCCGCCTCCTCCTCCTCCTCCTCCTCCTCCTCCTTTCCTCCTCCCTCCTCCTCCTCCTCTCTCTCCCTCCTCCTCTTCCTCCTCCGCTCCTGCACCTCTGTCCTCCTCCTCCTCCTCATCCTCCCCTCCTCCTCCCTCCGCCTCCTCCTCCTCATCCTCCTCCTCCTCCTCTTCCTCCCTCCCTCCTCCCTCCTCCGTGACGGTCCTCTCGTCCTTGATCCTCTCCTCTCCTCTCCTCACCTCCTCCTCCTTCTCCTCCTCCTCCCCTCCTTCCTCCTCCTCCTACTTCTCCTCCTCCCCTCCTCCTCCTTCGACTCCTCCTCCTCCTCCTCCTCCTCCTCCTCCTCACTGTCCGAATCGCAGGCCCTCTGGAGCGCTCTGCTTACAAAGGGGCGCTTCCGGCAATCAATAGAGATGCCTACACGGGCACATGAAGAGGGGCCCTGGGAGGGGAGGGTGCCTTGTAGCATCGTTGTAAATGATGAGCGTGCGTTCGGCATCCTTCTTATCCTCCTCAACCTCACTCC